CTTTCCCAGTATTCTGAGCTGTGAACCCATGTGACACAGGACTCCTGTTCTGCTCTTTTGGTTGTGACTCCTTCTCCTGTGGAATTGGCAAAAGCTACATTTTAACTGTCCTTTCAAGCACAGTTGGCGTCATCTCTGCTGTAGGTGTGGGCAGTGTGTGTACATATGTGTATATGTTTATATCACCCAGCAGTGTGACTGCTGCCGTCCAGGGCAAAGCGACAGTACAATAAATGTTGGCTCCAAAACTGCCTCTGGTTTCTTGATCAGTGGGCAGGAGCAGGGGTCTGGGCAAGTTGGCCCGCTGTGCACAGAAGGAAACCCCAACCCTGCTGTGTCCTGGGATAGGTGTGGGTGGCAGGCCAGGTGTCGGCTTCTTGGGGTGGGGGGCAGGGCTGCCTCCTCATCCCTGGGGACTCACCTGACCCCCGAGGTGAGTGTCTCATGACACTCAGACATGGCTGGAAACCCCTCCCTCCTTTGAAACATTAAAACCCATTTTGTAGGCATCAGATACAACCAATGACAAAGTTGCATTGCAAGCGGTCTCTGTCCTGACCCCAGATCCACCCAGAGGTTCCCTGTGAGGTAGGAGGAGATAGATGGGCTCCAGCTTGCACATTTACTCTCCTACCTCACCTGGGGGAAGAGGCTGGGCCTGGGTCCTGTGCGCAGCAACTTTTGGTCGATTTTGTCTCCTTGGAGATGGGATGGTGTTTCGGGTGGGCAAGGGAAGCAGTTTACACTGAAACCTATATACATTGTGGTTAGAAGCTAAATGCAGGTGCCTGGACCACAGTCGTCCATGTGCTGGTTTGTCCTGCTGCTGGGGTCCAACCTCTGCCCTGAGCCCGTGCACACACCTGGGGCTGGGCTGGGGGGTCATGGAGGTTTCCCATGGTGATGGTCTCTATGTCTGAATGTTGACCTATAATAAAGATTACTTGTAAAAAATAAATGTTTTCACTGCAAAAAAAAAAAAAAAAGTGGGTGAGGGGGCTTCCCTGGTGTTCCAGTGGTTAAGATGAGAGCTTATGGCCACTTGTACTGTGTAATGTAACTCAGTAACAGGCGGCTTAGAGATCCAGAAACAAACAAGAACCACAGGCATTAAAAAGCTTAACAACATTATGCATTTATTATATTTTATAGAGCCATGTTACACATGCTTGGTGCTTCAAAGTGAGTTATCATTAAATGTTTTTCTGGATGCAAAGCCATCTGATGCTTGATGCGGATGCCTTAAATACTATAATATTTCTGCATCTATGACCTATGAGCTAAGGAAAAACCAAGGACAATTCCAGAAATGGCAAACAACATTTAAGAAAAAGATGTACATGAGACGCAATGCCAAGTCCTTGAGCCAGGGCCCACAGAAGTTACCGGAAAGTGAATAAAAACAGAATTATTTTATGAAGATAGCTTGACCCATCACCATCTGTAGATAACAGAGCCTCATACCAGTTATGGATGTTGTAGAAAAAAGCTGTTTGGTACTGATGCCCTTTCCACCTCCATACTGTATGCAGACAGTGAGCAAGCCCCCAGGTAGAGCAGCAAACGGAACATAGCACAGCAACCGGCCCCTTGCTGTGACATCCCAATGCTGCTTCTTATGGTGTCTGAAGGTCTTTAGTGAATGAAAAGCAATCAATCTGATCAAATGACATTTTGAGAAAAATCAATCATTTTGCTTTAGATGGATGTGACGCCACCACGCTCACCTCCCCTGCAGACTCCCCGAATGCGGGCTAGGGACATGAGGGCAGGGATGACCAGTCTGGGGAGTTTGATTTGCCTCCTGACCTAACGCCCATGTTCTACTTCAACATTCCCTTCCGGTTTTCTTAAGAAGGGGGGCGGATGAAGAGTGTCCTCGGTGTGCTGCCCGCCCCTCCCATCAGCTCTCCGTCCATCCCCAGCTCCAGCAAACATCCTCTCCTGACAAGGCACTCCGGGGACCACTCTGGCCTCGGCCTTCCGCGGGTCACGCCCACTCGTGAAGGGCCCGCCCCCTCCTTCCCGCTGCCTCGGCTCTTAAGGGTCCCGCACTGACTCGGCCTTCAGGCAACCCAGGAACCCAAGCACAGTGCGCATGGTCCAGGCAGTTATCAAGGCGCATCAAGGTTGGGAAGCTGGGGTGCAGACCTAGCCAGCCATGCAGTCGAATGCTTCTGCGCAGGCGCGAAGGTTCCCCAGGGCAAGTTCTGGAAAGCGGAAGAGCAAACCGTGGAGTGCATGACTACGGCCTCCAGGAAGCACAGCTCGGGGGTTGAGCCTCCTCTGTGACCTCCTGGGGTCAAAAGAGGGCACCCCCGCGGTCCTGAGCTCTGACAGGCGCTGCAGTGGCACCCAGGCCAAGGGGAACCAGGCCAAAGGGCTCTGCGGTCCGACACGCGCCGGGGAGGCTGGCCGCCCGGTGGACAGAGGCCTTGTGGGCAGCGCACAGGCCACCAGGGAACCGTTTCAGTTCTCACCACTGCTCTGACCTCTGGGGTCCTGTTTCTGCTGGTGGTCAGATGTCAAGAAGATGGACCTGAGGACTAATAGTGTGGCCTTGCTAAGCAGGTTGACCCCAAAATCAGAGGAATCAAGGTACAGGAAGCGATCCACGTTCTCTGCCTGTAGCTGTCCTGGGGTAGATTACCAGGTTTCCAACTCAAAATCGGAGCGGGCCAGGTCTTCCTGTGTCACAGACACACATCCCGAGGTGAACGTACAGTAGGTAGGTCTGGCTAAGAAGTGCAGGCGGCAGTAAACCTACTGACAGCCTCGGTCTACTGGAGGCCGCTTGCTGAATGAAGGACTCTCATCTATTACGGAGAAACCAACTAGAACTCGGCAACATCCGCAGGCCTCCAGCGGAGTATCCCAATGGTTTTCATTTTACTCAAATTTAACAAAATAATTGACATTTAAAAGGATGTACATGAAAACCAAATTGAAAAAAAAAAAATTTTTTTTTTTTGGGGTCAAATCCACAGGCCTTGAATCTAGGTACAGCACACAAACATCATATGAAACCACCAGTGAGCTCAAGGTCACCTTGGAAAATAGATGTCACTCTGAGGTGACAGTTCTTTATACAAATACTATGCTTCCCCCTAAACCCCCACCACCAAAAAAGGGGGGAAAACAATATAAGAAATCCAAAAATAGAAAACAACATCTTGTTAAATGTAAACTTACCCTCTGAAGTTTTTATATTACATATGCTAGAAACATGCATTTATTTCAGCTCAGATGTAAGAAAATATGTATCAGTATTACTTATAAATCAGATTAATCAAGACAACTGACTGTTAGAACACCATTTCAAATTTTAGTAAATTACATCTTTAGCAAAATTATAAATTCTAACCACAAGCAGAATGGGTGTTAAGTTATACCCAATGAGAACTACCTCTATAAGCTGTCGCTCACTTGTGTCCTACACTACTGTTGTAAATTGAGTGCTATGTCAAGGAGGAACTTGGGCGTTAAACTTTCTTCCAACGCCCAATGAAATTCCTTTCAGAAATTAACTGCAGCTTGAGAGAAAAACACATGAACACACGGAGAAGAGTTAAGGGGGGCAATGGCTATTCCACTCAGACAGAAAGGGACGGGAGAGATGACGGAAGGCATCCCCAAGGGGTCAAGGCACAGAGGAAGAAGAACCTCCCTCCAACTCAGGGTCATGGCATGGCTCTTGGGGCCGCTGGGAGATCTCCCCACGGCCTGAGTCTTGTCTCGCCGTGGGCCCTTGGGCAGGAGTCCTGAGGATGACGCCAGGACCAGGCTCCAGTGTGGCACAGCGCTGGGTGAGGGTGTGACCCCTAACACAGCCCCCCTCAGGGGGCTGCTGACCCGATGGTGGGGAGGGACGCACGGGCACTGACTCCGGGCAGCGGTGGAGGCCTCTGCCCCAGGTCTAGGCAAAGCAGCACAGGTTTGCGCTGGGGCGCCTCAGCTTTGCAGGGAACATCCACCGCAGGCTTACCTCTCTCCTGACTGCCAGATACAGCAAAGCCTGGCTTATCCAGAGAACAGCTGGGGTCTTCTGATTAACTCAGTTCCATCAAACTACTCAATGGATAACAGATTCTGAACAAATGAAAAAAAAAAAAAAAAAGCGTCTCAAGTTAAATTTTTCATTTATGATTCAGAAGGCACTTCAGAATTCCGGAGGGCCACAGGGTCCCTGTCATTAGATCACCAATCCTCCTGGCCAGGACCGATGGAGAAGCTGAGAGACAGGGCTGTGTTCTGGACCTGATGGTGTCCTGGACGTCTTGTACCTGAATCACTGGTATTAGCTAGTCTGTCGATTACTCTGCAGCGTCAAACATGCAGCACAAAGACATACAGTATGTTTGCATTTTGAATAAATGGGATTTTGCTGTATCATGGCAGTTTATAAAATAGTCTCACGAGTCTGATATTTGACTCTAAGTAAAACCCAAAAATTATAATCATACATTTAAGAGGTCACAACATGAGAGGTCAAGTACTCATTGAGTACAGTTTTCTTAATAACCGAATCACCTTGCCAATCTGCACTATCCATTTAGAAGCACGGAAGGAAGGAAGCAAGCTACTGGCGTTCCACTGCTACAATGTGCTAACATTGGCAGAGTCCACTAGATGGAGGAACCAAGGCTCTCCAACCAAATAGCCAATAACCTTAGCGTTTCCTATTAGACCAGCCAGGACCTGCAGGAGCCGCTGAAGGCGGCCTGGGCAGCGGAAATGCCTTGTCTACCCTCTGGCTCGCGCCCCCTGCCAGGTGACACCTTACCTTGAGACAACACACACAGGCCGGGGCACAATTGCTTCAGTCACGCGTTTGCTTGGGGGAGCCAAAATCAAAATCCTGTTACCAGTGGGCCCGGTGCAGGGTACTCTGAGGTAGTTCCTTAACTCGGGGTGCCTGTTACCTACTCTCAAAATTCAGTACATGTCGGAAGTATTAAAATATCCATGCATCGCTTTAATCACAAGTCACTGTAATTGAGTGCAAAATAAAGGAAACTTGAGTTGCTTTATTTAGCTTCCAATTTCTGGGAGGCTCAAGAACTGTAATTATTCTGGACAAAAGGAAATAAGACTGTGCTTACAGATCTTTTTCTGCCATATTCTTTCTGTAGGATTGCTATTTTATTGTTGCCCTTTCTGTTACATGGGATGTACACATCAGGTGTTAAAAGGTACAATACGTTCTACGACTGAGCACCACTTTCTGTAACTGAACAGGCAAAGAAATTACACTGAACATCAGCATCTGGCAGTATTTTTCAGAAAAAAAAAAGTGACTAAAATGGGTTTAAATTGATTAACACTATTAAATCACATCTAATATTTGATACTACATGATTCAATACAGCTATACGATACAATTATACAAAATGTGTTAACATCAAAGAATACAACCAAAATTAAGATAGCAAACAAAACCTATATAACTTTTTTTTTTTGTACAGGAAAAATACTTTTGAAGTATGCATGTAACTGCCCATTCTTTTAAAGAAAATCTACTGCAAGCAAAGTTATCAACCTCCAGAAAAATCACACATAGCATTACTAAGCATATCCCCAAAAAGTGTACAATATGCACACTTGGAAAATACAAAATTAAAAAAATTGTAAGCAACAGGTGAGCTTCATATTTATAAGAATGTGAAAAGAAGTCCCATTTTTAGCACTGTTGTATAAAGAATTGTCTTTTGATGTGAAGTTCATGAATCGTCCTCCTGTTGGGACCACACTTTACAAAAACACCGTGTTTTTGAAACGAGATTACAGAGCAAGATAGAGCATCTTAGCAATGTCATCTTATTAAAGTTTTTTTTTTAATTTTTACTACTTTATCAAAACATGTCCCATGGGTATGTAGGATTCATTTTTAAAATTCTTTTCTAGAAACAATATACAAAGGAGAGGCGTGTTTATTCCCAATCACACTCCTGGAAGATGCTTCCCAAGGCTGAGGAGGGTCTTCTCTCTTCTCACTGGTTGTTTTTGGCCTTAGCATGTGTTAAGATGTGAGATTTCAGGTTAGTTGACTGAGCAAACTTCTTATTACAACCGTCGAAGGGGCACACATAGGGCCTGTCTCCGGTATGGATTCGCACATGTGTGCGCAAATTGAAGTCCAGTGAAAAGCGTTTCCCGCAGCCTTCAAACGTGCACTGTCAAGGAAAAACCAGAGATTACCCGCTCAGACTCGTGGGGCCAGGAAGGGGGCAGCTCAAGGCTGCAGGGAGGAGCCTGCTACTTCTACTTCACTCCCTTCCGCCCTGCCCCGGGGGGTGGGGAGCTTTCTAGACACATTCTAGAAATAGGGCAGGGAACTCTAAGGCTGCAGGGACAGCTCCTAGGACGACTCGTGGCTAGCCCTCATGAATTAATACAACAAAAGAGAAACGTTCAGCAATATAGCAAGAAATCTTCCTAAATCTTACATGAGGGTCCTAACACTTCTGTAAATATTTCAAATCATAAGAGACAAATGGTTAGGAAGGCTTCTCATATCAAGTATTAAAACAAAAAGAACATGCTAGATTTAGTGGCATTGCTAATTCATTCACTTGTTCATGGGCTTCTAAAACGAGGCAGACTACTACTTTAGAAGTTACTCTCCTATATGAAAATTTTAGAAGCTCCCTGTCAATATTCTACAAAAAATATATTAATCACACCAAGCAAACAAACGGCTTGAATCCCAACACACAGGAAGTGCTGTTTCAGGCTCGCTCTTGAGCAATGCTGTGCTTCTCCAGACATGAAGCCCACCCCAGAAGCACTTGCTATATCCCATCTCTGGTACCACACAGATACGAGCGGTGGAGCCGAGAGCCAGGGCAGCCCCTGACTGAGTCCTGGGGACCCCACCGCGGGACCCTGCAGTGGCCTCTCTGGGCGGCCGCCTTGCTTACACCTGCGGGGAGAGCGGAGGGGAGAGGGAACTGGCTCTACCTGAAAGGGCTTCTCTCCAGTATGAACCAGTTGGTGTCGTTTTAGTTTGGAGCTCTCCACAAAAGCTTTGCCACACTCTGCACAGACGTGGACTCTGGGGCCGTGGGTGTGCAGATGCTTTCTCATGGCAGAGTTATCCCTGAACATCTTTGTGCAGCCCTTTGAACAGAGAGAGAAGCTTAGTGGTCCACACTGCGAACTTACACACGATACTTTCGCCTGACAGCCTCCACTCACACAGGACAAGCCCCTACCCTCCCCACTGAAATGTCGCTTCACATCACAGCAGAAATAACTAAACTATTTAGGACAAAAACCAAAAAACCCCAGCTCAGAAAGGCCTTATGTAATGCAAACTTCTGTTTTACATGAGGAAACTGAGGCTTAGAGATGTCTTTAAGTAGACTTGCCCAAGGTCACGCTATTAGCAGGAGCCAGGCTGGGAGCAACAGCCGACCCTGGCTCCGTGCCCCACGGCCGCCTCTCGCAGCCGCACCCCAGATGAAGAGCAGCAGCCTTGAGAGAGAGGGAGCGAGGTGCCGGCGGTCCACCGCCACCTGGGGCCCGCACTCTGCGCTGCAACAGTGGGCTGCCACTCTCCATCGCCTGCTGCCCCCTCCTCTCTCTCTGCCTCTTTCCCCTTCTTGACAGAGAAAGAAGCCAGAGGGTCTCCCAGGAATGCCACTGCAGAAGAGATGTGTTTTGTGAGACACCGGGAAGGGCAGCAGGGAAACAGACAGCAGAGAGGGCAGGGGGTGTGCAGGCTGGGAAGGCGGCCTAACACCGCTTCTTCTGCAGCTGTCGCCCAACAATGGAGCAAGTGGGGAAATGATCAGACAGCAGGACGGAAGGACAGCATGAGTCAACACCGGACAGCTTCATAAGGCAAGGGGGGTGTGGGCGGGAGCCAGCTTCCACCGTGATCCCTAGGCTGAGTTTCCACTCAAAAACAGAATTTTAAGAAAGCTAACTGGCAAAGAAATACAGAGAAGGTAGAGAGATGATGAGCACTTAAGACAAAACTGTTTTCAAATGCGTATTGCTATCTGGCCTCAACAGAAGGCCAAATCTTTATGTTTCAAAATTTCCACAATAACAACATTTTTTTAAAAAGACAAAAATAAATTTGTGGGAGCACAGTCATCAGAGGTGAGACGGTGAAACTAAATCTATCCTTCTTCAATTGTTGTTTTTTAAAAATTTATTCCATTCAAAACCTCTCACCGTTTTTCTGTACCGCCTACACGATACTTTTATTCCGTCAGTGTTACCTCTAAGTTTAAAACAGACCCAATCCGCATTTCAAAGTACTTGTTAAGCTATCTTTAGAAACTAATAATAACAACTACATTTGAAAACAATTAAGTACCCCCTAGCAACAAACAGCTAACAGGTAAATTTAAGAAAATTGTGGCAGAAATGATGAGGTCTTAATAGGCTTACTCTAGCACTATCCAAAATCAAATTTCCATAAAGAGCCCACAGTCCTATAAAGGTCCATGGGTGAGACACAACCCAATGTCTTCAGATTAGACTTGTTTAACAACTCAAAAAGAAGAAAAAAGAAGAAATAAAATCCTAACAGAGTATATTCAGTATATAGTGACAATAAAAACACTGTTGCCCTACAGTAATCCCATTAAAGAGTATTTAAATTTAAGTGGCCTTTAAGGAACAAAACTTTCATCACAAAATATGATCTCTTGAATTTAGAACCCAGATTCTAGTTCCTCACTGAGTCTCAATTATGAAGATGGAAATAAAAGTGCGATTTCTTATAAGCTCTCTACAACTTAATTCACAGAAATGAACACTTTCCCCTAGCATTACTTACTTTATGAGGGCAAGCTATTGTTCTTGGAGCATCATCTTCTTTAATTTTTCTTGGCTTCATTCTTACCAAAGGGGGGAAAAAAGAGAGAGAGAGAAAGATTTGTAGGAATGGGTAGATTCATCTGGCATAAATCATATAGTCCCTAAAACGCTTTCCCTGTAAGTACAAAAACTAAGATTACAACACGCTGCCGTGAAGGGGAAGGGACGAGAAGACTCGCGTTCACAGAGGACCTGTGACTGAAGCACTCTCCCGCCTACAGGTAAGGATGCTTAAGCACAGGCACAAGTGAAGTGCTGCCTACGGTCTCAAGGCTAGTAAGCTGGTGCATCTTTAGGGTGGCACTGTGATCTGTGTGACTTAACTATCTGCTCCTTCTTCCCAACTCCTTAAGTAAGATATGGGGGGCGTCTTAAAGGGGGGTGTCCATCTTTTGATGGCAGAAATTATCTTTATTATAATAGACCATTTTTAAAGGGTTACAGAAAAGTCCTTTTAAACAAAGTATTACCTATCTATCTATATATACCTTTTTTCACACAAAAGTCCTTTTAAACAAAGTATTACCTATCTATCTATATGTATACCTTTTTTCACACTGCTTAATTTTTATCATACTATTAGCTGTGGTGGTGGTGGTAGGAGGGAGATACAGTTTCAAGCACTTGGGCAGTCAGGGAGAGCCTTTTGTGGAGTGACTACCCAGAGCTTACTTGGTAACTTACCTACCTGCTATTTTCACTGAACCAACCTTTGGTCTTTTGCCAAAATTTTCTCTCCAAAACTCCCTACAGATCTGTGTGTGGTAGAGGGGTGAGAAAATAAGAGCTTCTAGGAAAACGATGAGGATGAACATTTAGTGGCCTAAGCTGATGCCCCGAGAGTAAGCTAGCTGACCATCACTCTTCCACGATGAAGGACCGTGAGGCGCAGAGCGGTCATCTTTCAGTCGGCCAAAGCCCTAACACCGCCACCCTTCTCCACTCTTCATCTGAGCTCAGAGACTCCTTCCTCTGTCACACCTCAACTCCAGGAATCATCTCATGAAACCTGCCACGCCCTGGAAGAGCAGAGGTGAAACAATTTTATCTGCTAGCTATAACTTATCTCTAAGGAGTTTGTTCAAGATCATACACATTTCCTACTTGGAATTCTAAGAGAATACTTTCAGTCTGGTATCCTCCCCAGGCCAACCCTGCAGTTACCTGTCCTTTCCCGTACTTGGAAGATAACCTCATCAGTCAGCAAACATTTTCTAAGTGCCCATTGTTTACAGGGCTCTGAACTAGCCTTTGTTATCTTAAATACTATTAAATCCTGGACTCTGGATCTGAGTTCACAAAACTAGGTAGGGAAAAACTGGTGCCACTGCGCCACCTGGAGGTTATAATAACAAAGTGTACATTAAGAACCAAGCTTCAACCTTCCCAACTAAGGTGTTTCCTCTTTGAGGATTCCACTCAAATGCTGTCCTGGCTGTGAAGATAAATACATGATTGTCTTTGTCCAAATTCATAGAATGGTAGTAACCTAAGAGAGGGTGAATTTTACTGTATGCAAATTATCTCAAAAATAAAACACTCTTGACTTTGTGGGTACCAACTTGGGGACAATGGTAGTGAAATGTCTATGTCAATAGGATAGTAGGTGTCGCCCAGTTACCTCAGCGGGTGCCAGACCCCACAAATTTTTTTTAATTCCTAGGAATTTTTATCCTGGAAAATTTCAAATATACCTAACAGTAGAGAACAATTCTACATGCCATTCACCCAACTCTTGATTTTTTGGAATGTTATTAAGTTGCATTTTTGAAAAAATGTCATTTTCAAAATGTATGTTAGTATTTAGCAATATAATTAAGTTTTGAATGAGAGTGTTAAATGTATCTGGGCAAACCTTAAATGTATCCAAATGTTAAATGTATCCAAGTCCACCCTTGGACTCAAGGAGGAAGTGAAGGTATTTAATTGTAGCCACTCTTAAGCTTGTTGTCACTCTTCATCACTACAGAGTGGCAAACGAGGCAGTATATTCTGGTACCTTTTACACTATATTAGAATGCAAACACTGAAAAGGTCATTTTCCAAACAAGTATGCTTAGAATGAAAGTGTTCTGTTTTTGTGAGTAAAGACTAAAATTTCTGTGGCAACAACTAGTACAAAAACCTACAAAATAAATCCTAAAAAAGATGAATTTTCTTACAAGACTACAATTATATACTTCTACTTAGAGTATCTCCTTGATCAACCCAAACGAGCCAGAAGTAACAAGACTTGAGCTTCTCGGCTGACTTGGACCTGGAGACATGACAACGGCAGAGGCGTCATGAATGAGACAGAATGGGATGTGTGACTGGTGCCGCACGACCTTGAGCAAATCACTTAACTTCTCAGCCTCAGTTTCTTATTCTGTAAAAAGGCGAAAAGCTACCTAATCAGAGCTATGAAGGTTAAAAAGAGATGCTATGTTAAGCTCTTGAGAAACAATGGCTAGTATTACTGCCAGCCTGTGCTAAATGCGCTTAGCCAAAAATGAGTTTATTCCTTAAAAAAAAAAAAAAAAAAATCACAGTTGTATTCAACCCGGAAGGTACCAGGGCCTCCAAACCACCATCATCAACTAAAGAACTGTGAGACTGAGAAACGATAGCAAAGGTAAAGCAGAAAGGCCCCCTCCATGCATTAGAAATTTATAGACAAGCCAGGGAGCCAACAAGTTTCCTGTTCAATTAAAACTCTAGTTTTAGTAGTTTTCTCTATGACGTCTATGGCATCACTGCTGACTTCACAGGATATCATCCTGTGTAAAGGCTGTAAAGGCTGGATACCAGGACCACAAACTGTAGGAATCTCCTGGACAACTTTCAGCAGGGTATTAGGTAAACCAAAAGTTCCAACTCAGTTAAACGTGCAAATATCCTAGAAGCTAAGATGAAAGATTTCTGAAGAAGAGATTCTTCAGACTGGAACCATCTGTGCTGACAGGACAGTGGGCCCTATGTAACAGAGCTACCATTCGCAAGCACAATTCACCTCCCTTTGTGTCAACTAAGACAAATGAACCAGTTTTTCAAGCCAATTCTCTCTTAGACAATGTACATTCATTCATGAGATATTAAAGAGTTTCAGGGCACTTTCAGCTCCACCATCACATCTTTGTATTAATCCAGTGAAAAATCCTCGGTGGGGGGGTGGGGGGAGGCAGCAAACCACAACAAAAAACCCCCACCAACTCAGATCTGACCACTGGTTATTCTGATCTTCCTGGACAGAAGGTTTCCTAAGGGCTAAGATTAGTTAATGAAAAATGCACAAATTTAACCAGGAAACAATTCTCCAGGTCCCACCCACTATCCCATTTTTGAACTATTTACTAAAAGGACATTTCAAGAAAGAAGAAAATCACCATAGTCCCACCTCCCCAGTACCGTGACTTCCAAATATCTATTTCCTATACTTGTCCACATACACTAAGTGATTTACTAGGCAGTCTAGGCTCAGTGCAGCTGGAACCTGAGCATTCTCTGTTTCGAGTTCAGTCCAGAACCCCATCACCCCAGTATATGGAGAACAGGGGAAAGCAGCTAACATGCCTCCTTAAGCCAAGAACTGACTCACACGGTGGAGGTGGATGGAAAAAGGAGGCCAGCAGAACAAGTTCTGTGCATTTTTATAAACCAAGAAGATGAGATCTGGTCCCCAACCAGTTTGAAATTTGGTGCTTCTGTGTTCCAGTCACCAATTCTTGGGCCTCTTCTCAAAATGTGAAGCCTGAACAGGAACAGGGCACCCCAGGCTCAACTCTTTCTCACCACCACTGCCCCAGTAGCCATTCAGTTTTACATCATCTGTTCAAAAGCCCTGAGATAGTATGGAAAATGGAGGTGAGGATGAGCCCGACTGCACAGTACCCCAATCCTATGCCTTTACTTTCTATATGTTGTCAACAGAAGCAAGATTTTCATTCTATTCCATACACAAAATGAAATATTTAACTGGTTGATTATAAAAGAAAAGAAACACACACCACATTCAGGTAATTATGTAACTAATGCTTACTAAAGAATTTAACTGTGTGTAAGGATCACACTTCCTGTGCTCTAAGGCCAATACAGCAGCTTCAGTACCAAAGAGTGAATTTTCTTAGTCAAGTCAAATGAGTCTTCTCTCTAAATAATGTCAAAATAATGTTCCATTTTTAGGCCATGGTTTTCTTAACCGTGCCACCCTTGTCAGGACATTTCTGATTATCTTTTCTTCTTTAGAAAACTTTCTCACACCACCATGTTCCATCCTCTTGATCATTCCAACTACTGCTGAATGAAATGGACCATTCTTAAAGAAATTCTTACAGCCCACTGACTTCCTATTCTAAACTGAACAAGTTTTCCAGTCTGCTGCATAGCTGTCTTCTTGATCTTCTTTAGGAAGTCTTCCCTCTGATACTCATCCTCATTTTACCGGAGCACACCCTTAAGTAACCTCTTCAGAAAGGGTGCATGCAACATAAAACAAATCCTTCAGGCATCTGAAATTGTCATTGTTTTGCCCTTGTGTTGGACAGATAGCTTTGCTGGATCAAGAATCCTATGTCGTAATAATTTTCCTCAGAAATTTCAGAACACCACTCCTCTGTCTTCTAATTATCTATTGCTGTTGAAGAAAATTCTCATTCGGGTTTAATTATCATTCTTTTGTAGGTGACCTATCTTTTCTCCCCGGAAGCCTTCAGGTTCATCCTCAGTGATTCAAAATGTCCCAAATAGATGGATACCTGGTGTCCCTGGGTCCCTGGGTCCCTGACCCTGTGGGTGGCCTCTTGCTCAGGAGTAAGGTCCAAGGCGGCCTGACACAGGGCGGAAAGGCCTCACCATTGGTGCCTCCTGAGCTCAGAGATGAAACATCCTGGAGTTTCTTTCAGAGGACTGGGGACAAGTTTTAAGATCGGCTGCCCCAGTTCTCCAGCAACAGGAACACGCAAAGGGTCCTCAACACCTAATTATTTCTACTGCTCGCTGCCCAAAAGGCCCCACACCTCTCTGAAAACCTTGCCTCAGCCCTCTGCTCCTCCACCAAAACCACTTCACAATATGTAATTTGGAGAAACGTTCACTCTTCGTCCGCGGCCCTTCTGAAGCCCCACTGGCTCTCGCAGGGCTGTGCTCTGCTCTCGACACTGAACCAACCCTGCTGCCCGAACCGCAAAGCCCTCTCCCACTTTCCCATCACCTGAGGAGCAAAGCTTTCTAACGTGCATTAGAAAAAAATTAATGCACACCAAAATGTGCATTTTCATGCCTCTTTTGCCCTCTCCCCAAGACCATCAAGCTATTTCTCGACCTTCCATCATCTCCTGCCACCTCAGCACATTTCTTCACAGGTACAGTCTGACCTCTGGCTCAGGCCTTCGCGAGCTCTTGTTCAACTGGCTTCTCCTACTTCCTGGCTGTACCTGCACCCATCCAGTCTGGATACAGCTGAAAAGTAATTCTCTCCAATTAAATCTCTGATCACACAGCCCCCTTTCTCTGCTGCTTAAAAACCTTCACCAGATGTCTGCTACATACAAAGCAGCACATGTCTTGGCCCTGTTTTCAGCCTCTGATGATCTGGTTTACATTTACCTAAACGCAATCACTTCTCTGTTGCTGTCGTCCAGTCGCTCGGTCGTCCCGGACTCTTGGCTTCCCCACGACGGTAGCATGTCCCTGTAAGCATCCTAATTCACAGCCAAACTTGGCTTTTTTGTTTTCTGAATAGGTACTGGATACTGAATGTGTACTGTGTGCAACCTATCCCAGCATGGAGGCCCCACAGACACCCATCCACCTGTCAGAACTCTTACGTTCTTCAAGGCCCAAACCAAGTGCTCCCGTCCCCAGGGCTCTCCTTGACTCTGTTCCACCTCTCTATCCCTGGGACAGCAGCCTATGCCCTCAATACATCTGAGTACCACAAGAAAGTTACAACAAACTTTCAGAACTCTGTGACAATGTTAAACACAGGTATGATATTTGGCTCAATCTGTCCAAAAACTCTTGGCCTCACTGCTGACTATGTGTCCTAAGGAGTCCATTTTTAGTTGTACTTTGGGGTGGGGTGGGGTGGGGCACAGCAGGGCACTTAGTTATCTAATTCACACACCTATGTTTAAAATATGAACAGCAATAAGAGCTGGAACACGATTAGAGCAGTTAACAAGAGGATAGGGCTTTACTTTTTCAAAGCCGTGATAAATCAGAAATAAATTAATTTTTATATTCCCTACCACTACAGTTTCACTGGAAAGGAGAAAAGGGTAGACTCTTATCAAAGCACAATAGGATTCTTATACCCACATGACATGTGGAGAAACTGAGGTTTCAAATGGCTGGAGGCCACCCACCTTGTCTCTGGCAGGCAGGGAGAAACCAGGACACCCCAGGGTCTCCAGCTTTTCTCTACTCTGCTCTCCAGAAGAGGAGGGGGAGCAGGCGTACACAGACTTCTTCTCACCCTGCAATCCTGGCCTTGCCTCGATCTCCTGGGCTGTTCCAGGCTCCATCCAGCCTCAAGTACATAAAAGGAGACCACCTGCTCCAGATCTTGTCAGTTTATTTCATTTAAAATTGTACATCTCTGTGGGTTTTCTCCTGTCCTTATAAAAACTGCCAAGCAGCACTGGAAAATAATGGGAAAGGGGACCACGGTCTCTCTAAGGACCTGGCTGGTTTCAGTCAAAACAAATGAAACAGTCACTGGGCTCAGATCTGCCTTCCTGCTGCTCACCCTGCACAGTGGAGCACAGGGTCAGAGACCTGAATATGCCATCCCCTCCTATCATGCCAGCTAAGATCAACAGAATACCTGGAGCCTAACTGATGACACGCTGAAATCGCAGCTGATGAAGTCCTTCCTAGTGGTCAGCTGCACAAACCTAGTATAGACCCAGGGCTCCAACAGCTTCAGACCAGGACAATACATGCAAATTTAAAATGAAGACAAAGAAGCCAGGAAGTAGTGTAAAGACATCCATTTCCAAACAAAATATTAAAAACGTGAAACTGTGTTTATTCACAAGCAACATCAATTACAGAATTTAAAAGTAGGTATTTGCTTCATCTCATTCAAATCTAAAACAGTGCCACTTAAAAAAGCAGTTACCACTGAAAATAAAAGCGAACCGCTTTTGTTTTCAGAAGCTTCCCGAGAGCAAGAATACAAACCACTATTGTTATTTAGGCACCAAAAATCACAGCTGGCAACACTCAAGCACTTTCTCTAACTAGAAGAAAGGGAAAGTTCTTGAAACTTACCTAGCAAATTCTGCTAGTTGTTTGGGATCTGAGAGGTCAATGCCAGGTATCCCTCCTGGAGGAAGTTTCTTTCCTGTCATATATTCTGAATAATCAGGAGGTGAGTTCTCTCCAATGATCTGTTCTTCAACCACCGTCTCATGGTCGATATCTTTTTTTTCGTCTGAAAAACATAAGATGGATCGTGTTAGCTGAGTAAAGAAGTTATGTGAGCAAACACATTTAAAAAACTATAAAAAGTGCTTTCATTAGCAGCTTTTTAAATGGGGTGATTTATAGCCACTATCTCTTAACCACTCAAGCCAGTCTTTCCCCCCTCAATCTCTTAAAATCCTTTGTCGGCCTGAAGGTCACCAAAAGTCTCAAGGCCAAAGTCAACAACTCTTCCCTGTGTTCCTTCTGAGCCTAGTGGCAAGAGCTGGCCATTGTGAGTTAAGTCCTCAGCACCCACTTCTCTCCGTCCCACGCCCATGTCTCTAGCTTTCAGCTACTCTCAGCTTCCCTGCTTCCCCTCCTACCCCTCTCTCTCAGAGTTCTGCTTTCCGTCCAACCCATACTTCCTGTGAGCCACCAACTGTGCACGGCTGACTCAAGCTCGACTTTCTAGCCTTCGTCTCTTAGCAAGCCTCTTGCCTAGCTCTCCAGCTCCTCCTTCTTCACTCCAGCTACACTGGCCTTTAGTTCCTCAAATGTACCTTGGACCATCCACCCTAACCTCATCGCCTCTGCCCATGCAATTTTTATTGACTACAATGTGCAATCATAGCCGTGTGATTTTTGTTACCCACTTCTACTAGGATTGTAAACTCTGTGAGGACAGGGATATTTCTCAGTTTTGATCCCCATGTAGCCTTCACAGCCTTCTCAGAGCCTGCATATAGGTTTGCATGTGTGCTAAGTCGCTTCAGTCGTGTCTGACTCTTTGTGACCCTATGGACTGTAGCCCCCCAGGCTCCTCTGTCAGTGGGATTCTCCAGGCAAGAATACTGGAGTGGTTGCTATTCCTTTCTCCAGAGGATCTTCCCAACCCAGCGATCAAACCCAGGTCTCCCACACTGCAGGCAGATTCTTTGCTGTCTGATTCACTAGGGAATGTTGGTTTTCAAATATGTGTTCAAAGAACGTAGCACAACTCCACTCATACCTCTTAACACCACATCTAAAAACAAGTTAAAAAAAAAAAAGGAAGACTGACTCGCACAATCAATCTCCTATATTCCAAACACCAAGCCCTATTTATTCTCCTAGGTCCTATGCTGTCTGGCCTCACTTTACCACACCTAGCCTTTTACTTCTCCGTGGCGCAAATTCTCTCAGGGCTGGTTGATTCCACCACTCCAGCCTCAAGACTCTTACCTTGAACTCCTGGATTATTTACGAACAGTAACACTGCCACACTCTAAATCATGCTGTTTTGAACTTTTGTTGGCCTTGTCTCTCAAATTAGAGTGAAGCACCTGGAGGGTAAAATCCCAGCCTCCTACCACCGTGGTGACTAAAGCAGAAAACAGAACGTGCGGAAACTCTCAATGCTAACTGAAAACCTGTGCTTCTCTACCCAATTGTTTCACAATGAAAATCCCAGAAGACAGCAGTTTTAAACTTTAAATGCTTCCCCTTTCCCCCCATTCTTTACATGAGGGGTATGTTATAAGTCACCTGGTAGTATCAAGGACAGGAAACGTAGTTACCGACACCAACCAGATCCCTTCACTTCTTTTCTCAGGCTGTGATCATGCCCACACCCTCTGACCCCCCACCCGAGGCACAGCGACTAGGTCATCCACCTTCTGCTGCCACCAGAATGACGGGGTGCAGGGAGGCTGTTCCCTGCTGTTCCCCTGCCCCCACTGAAGCCACTTTTCTTCTCATGAAGAGACACTCCTGTTTGTATCTTTCTCATACAAGAAAGAGGGCAAGGCTGAGAAGCGATTCACTGCTGCTCTAAGAAAGCCACTGATAAGAATTATGAAAGAGTGCCGGGGCAGGACGACAGCTGGATGCTTGGCATAACGGAATCACGAGTTCAAGCACTCCCTGTATTAGTTCAACACATATGAACTGTCCTGGCACTGTTCTCGGCAGCAGAAACAAAATCAGGTCTCTGCCCTCATGGGACTTATGTTCTGGCGAAGAAGTTGTCTCAGTTTAGGCTGCTGTAACAAAAATAGTCTAGGGACTTCTCTGGTGGTTCAGTGGTTGAGAATCTATCTGGCAACGCAGGGGTATGAGTTCAGCTCCTGGTCGGAGAGCTAAGATCCCACTGGCCTTGGGGCAGCTAAGCCCTCGCTACAACTGCGGAAGTCCGTGCACCGTAACTAGAGAGAGGCCATGCATTACAACTAAAGACCCTATGTGCTGCAACTAAGACCCAATGCAGCCATAAACAAACAAACAAAGAAATGTTTAAGGAACACTCCAGACTGGGTGGCTTAAAAAGAAATGTGTTCCTTACATTCCTGGAGATCAAAGTACCAGCTCATTCGGTCCCATCTTCGTCGTTCGCCACCAGATGTCTCCTTGTTGTATCTTCACATACACATCAGTCTCATTCTATTACGTAATTTCTGCCTCTTCTTGTAAGAGCACTAACCCATTCATGAAGGCTTCACCCCCAAACTTAGTAACTTTCTAAAGGCCTCAACTCCTGATAACACTGTATCAGGGATTTGGGCTTCAATACATGAATTCTGGGGTGACAGTAAAATCCAATGAGGAAATGTTTTATACTTCTTGAAGATCAGTTATTGGTTCCAACAGTCAACATAGGGTACCCGGAGAACAGTCAGATAATTAAGAATTAGATCACAAAATATGCATAAAATAAACCTAAAGTAGAGGCTGACAAGATTTTTTTTTTTTGGCTGACAAGATTTTTATGTCTATTTTGGTAAAATGGACATTACTTATCATTTTGAATCATCTGTAACTTCACAACTGAGCAGCATCAAGTATACTCATAATGTTGTATGACTACTGAGCTTGAGCTTTAGCCCCTCAGTCATGTCTGACTCTTTGTGACCCCATGGACTGCAGCCCACCAGGCTCCTCTGTCCATGGCAGTCTCCAGGTAAGAATACTGGAGTGGGTTGCACTGTATCTCTGGGGTATCTTCCCAACCCGAGGATCAAACCTGGGTCTCCTGCATTGCAGGCAGTTTCTTTACCATCTGAGCCACCACCAAGTCCATGTATAACTATTACCACCATCTATTTCCAAAACTTCATCATCCCCAGCAGACACTGCTACTCATTAAACAACAACCCCTCTTCCCCTCAGTCAGTGGTAACCTCTAGTCTACTTTCTGATTTCATGAATTTGCCTACTCCAGATAACTTTTCTAAGTGGAATCATATATTCTTTGTCTGTCTGTGCCTGGTTTGCCTCACTAAGCATGTTTTCAAGGTCCATTGTGTTGTAGCAAGTATCAAAATTTCTATTCCTTTTCACAGGTGAGCAATATTCCAATGACACAAGATAACATTTTGTCTATCCATTCATCTACTGATTGACACTTGTGTTGTTTCCATTTTTTGGCTACTGTGAACAACGCTGCTATGAATGATAGTGTGCACATAAGCCATCTAATTTTAGAAATACAGTTTTACTGTAAACAGAGCTATGCTCATTTGTGAATATACTGTCTATGGCTGCTTTCCTGATTACATGAAGACATGTAGTTGCTCAGTTGCATCTGGACCTACAAAACCTAAAATACTACTTATCTTCTACCCCTTTACAGAAAAAGTCTGCTGATCTCTGGTCTCTATGATGGGATTTCACTCAGAGAAAATGGGATTAAACTACAGTAGAATTTTTCTCTTTGAAACAAGGAATGATTTGAGATTACCCAATGATGGGATTTACTACCAAAAGGACATTTATCATAGGTCTTTAAAAACTCCACAAAAACTAACTTCTGTTGGTCTAAGTTCTAAATAATTGCTATGGTTACTGTACGATTTCATAAAATATATTTAAAAATTTGTATGTCTTACTTATTCCCTAACAAACAGTGTCTTTCATAGAAGTTAATTTAGAGAACTCCTTGAAGGCCAATGCACAGAAACCATAAAAAAGACAACTGTTAACTATTTAACAACTTTTAAGAACATCAACTATTTACACAGGAAGAAAACTACATTTCAAAGAAGACTGCTAGAGAAACAACAGAAGATGCTAGATCTACTGCCAGAAGGAATCAAAGACGGTGTATGCCTCATTTACAGCAAGAACTGGACATATATTACAGCAACAGATCGCATGATGTCAGTGTTTGCTATGATTTGGCCATTTTATCAGATTTTTGAAAGAAAGTCTTCAGAAGCTTTTGCCAAAAGGAAATTTATGATGCTCTAAAAAGAGAAAAGCTACATTTACAGACCACATGTACATAAGCTTCCCTCTTCAAAAAGTGTAAGTAAAGGGGAACAAAAAAGAACAATAACCCCCAAATGCAAGTATTAACTCAGTCTTTTTTTGGGTACGATTTTATTTAAACACGTTTTACTGTTATGTATTCAAACAATTTCACTGTTTGCAGTGGCCATTATTATACTCCTTCCATTTCATAATTACTGCTGAAATAGATTCACTGTATAGAGGAGGAAGAAGATGTTAACTCATCAGCTCCGATTACCAAACATGTTATATATGTTACTGAGTTCTAGTGAATGGCAACAGGGGAATTATCAAACGCATACCTAAGCAAAACCTGTTCATGAAGTGAAGTATCTAAATCTGCTTGAAAAATTGTATATATTTATTCTTCTCTGGGGGTTTCCCTGGTGGCTCAGACGGTAAAGCATTTGTCTGCAATGCAGGAGACCTGGGTTCAATCCCTGAGTTGGGAAGATCCCCTGGAGAAGGAAATGGCAGCCCATTCCAGTATTCTTGCCTGGAAAATCCCATGGATGGCGGAGCCTAGGCTACCTTCCACGGGTCGCAAAGAGTCGGACACAGACTGAGCGAGACCTCCTCCAGTATTCTCTGGAGTCTTCCTTGAAGGCAGCACTCAGTTAATTATCTCATTGTTTCAGGGGACAGGATTAATCCACACTAGAAGTGTCATCAAAATCAGTTTCTATACACCTGAATCTAACACAACACTGTAAATTAAAATGAAAACCAAGTCTCAGTATTCTTGTTTGGAAAAAAGCTGAG